TAAACGAATATACTTTCACATCATAACATTTTCTAAGTTTAACAAACCTTATCAGCGCTAATTTTTTAAAGACTATCTTTCCAGAATCGATAAACATATATAAAGCAATATAGCATATTTTTTTACACTGACGCGCCAAACACCAAAACTTAAATTAGATTCTCTGTATCCACTGCTCAACTGCCTATCAGATCTTATCCATTTTCTCCTTGGTATAGCGTCCACACATATGAGCTATTAGCTATGTTACTTTAAGTCCAGGTTCTTATAAACCAAAATATAGGCATCTTAACCATTGACCCAGATTAAAGGAGATAGGAAGTGAGTAACTCTCTCAATGTTTTGTTAATCTATCTATTGTCGTGAAGTTGGTGACTCAATATCATAAATTTTGTCCTGAAAGCATTAATTTTTAAACCCATTTCTTTTTGTATCGTGTTTACGCAATCCAATAACTTTTGAAGGCTCTAAACACTATAGCATAAAGATAAGATAACAGTATATATAATAATCATATAATAACAGTGTCTTCAGCGCATCTAAGAATAATAATCAGTTTACCATTGATTTTTACTCATATTATCTTTAAAAATACTGTTCTGAAATTTGATGCAGTAGATATTACATTGCAACGGGGATAGAATGCATCTCTATTTGAAGCCTCTTTGAATGTAACATTGTTTCTATGCGTGAATGCTGTCTACTTCCAATACAAGTTTTCTATGATGCATAGGTCTCTACCATAAATTATGATCTTAATATGTTCAAAAGCGATCCATGCCGCCCTAATCGGCGAAAACCACATAAATATCTTTGCGTTGATTGCGGCATTTTTAGAAGAGTACATTTAAATCGAAAAGTGTCTCACTATGTGTTCGTAATATACATATTATTAACAACACTTTTTCATTTATATTTTGCACACCAAATCATAAAATTCGTCTAGTTTAGAGGCATTAATTAAACAAAAAACATTAATATCATCACCTACTTCAAATAAAAAATGCAAGATTGAATTAAAATGAAATAAATCTGACGCGACCGAATGTGACGTGACAAAGGATAAGGGACATTCAATTAACTCAAAGTAAACACCGAGAATGACTTTAGTTAATTGGTATCCTCTCAAGAGAAAATTCTGTTTCGCTAACTTTAATTTAGGTATTACTCTCAACTTCAAACCGCTGCTGGCGTAATTATAGAGTACGCTCTTTTAAGTCGATATAAAAGTGTTGGTTTGTGTTTCTAATTTAAAGTAAATAAACTGTCATCAATATGTCCGTAGAAGATTGCCTTTGGTGTTTATAAAAGTAGAAAATACTAAGGAGATTATCTCTTTAGGTTACTGTGTTTGTGTATACTGGTTTATTATGCAGTACAAAATGACTACATTCAGATTTTTAATTTTACTAAATGACTGCATTAATTATACCTATATTAAGTTAATATAGGTTTATTACAATTTTTTTGTTAATTGAGGGTCAATATTTCTTACTCTGCTAAGATGACTTTTGTAGTGATGCTGGAGAGACACTCTGGAGTATGGCGTATATTTTACATTATAACGTAACGTATTATTACCAAAATAGTAACTATTTTCGTAAATATATTTTTACCAAAATAGTGTCTAACAAAGAATTCACTATAGCTTTCAAGTATCTAAAGCCAGGCAAAGCCCCAGGTTTTCACGATCTTTATCCCGAATTCTTAATTAACAGTGGCAAGTATGTGACAGAATAGTTGTCCTACATTTTCAGAGACGTTATGAAAACCGGTACTATACCACAGGAGTTTAAACGCCCGAAGATCATTGACGTATTAACCAGGGAAACCAAATGATAACAACCCTAAGACCTATAGAGCGATAGCGCTACTATCGATGACGTTCAAGAATATACTACTACTATAAAGCGTTCCACTTTAAGAAAATAATATTGCGGAATTAGGACCATGTATTTCTTATGGACGATAGAAGCGCAGCGATGCCACGACGAACACAAGCACCATTCAATTTTATTTTCGTTTTTACAGACATTAATTAAAATTAATGTTTTTAAACGTAATTGACCAAAAGTGTCCATTCAAAACAGGAGATGAAAAGTAAGGAAAATGATTTTAAAAACAATATTGCTTAGCTAAATCATGCATTTTGCTGGCTATTAAAGATAAGTAATTAACGGAGCGAATTAATCAAGTAACAGATGGCAAGAATATATAGCAGAATTTTTCAGTGACAACCAACATATTGAAGTATATGACAACGTCGAGAATGGACCAACAATAACAAAATCAGAAGTAAAATCTGCTATATATCGTCTAAAAAACATCAAATTGCCAGGACCTTATGGAAAATATGCTGAGAAAATTGATAGAAGACAATCAACTTGATATTATGACAGAATTATTTAACCGTATATATGAAACAGAAACTATACCAAAATATTGGTACATGTCCATATTTATACCACTGCCAAAAGAAAACAAATACTAAGAAATGTGAAAAACACCGAATCATTAGTCGCATGAACCACTTACTCAAAATATTCTTAAACATTATCCATGCTCGCATATACAACAAATAGGAGGAGGGTATTGCTGATGTGCAATTTGGATTTCGCAGCGGTCTTGGCACAAGAGAAGCACTTTTTAGCATACAAGTATTGATATAACGAGCAAGAGATGTTAATAAAGATGTGTTTGCCTGTTTCATTGACTTCGAAAAGGCATTTGACAAAGTACAGCATAAGAGGCTTATTGAAACTTTGCGAATCGGAAACATCAACAAGGATATAAGAATAATAGCCAATCTCTATAGAAAACAAGTAGCAAAGATTCGAGTAGACAATCAATTATTATCCAATTACTCTCGCATTTGCTGTTTAATGCGTACTCTGAACATATATTTCGAGAAGCTTTGGGAGAAACGACCGATGACGTGATTGTTAACAGTAAAGTAATCAATAATTTAATATAAACAGACGACACTGTCCTTGTTGCGGATAGTGCTAAAGGATTACAAAGACTAATAGATCAAGTAGTTAACATCGGTAGAAAATGTGGAATTGAACTTAATAATAAGACGATGAAAATTATGATCATAAGCAGAAACCAAGATACAGATGCAAAGTTTATGGCAGACAATGGGGTGTTGGATAGAATAAAAAAATAACATACCTAGGATGCAACATCACAGACAGCTGGGATCACTCTTATGAGATTAAATGTAGGATCGAAAACGCAAGGAGTGCCTTCTAACAGATGAAGAAAGTTATCTGCAGTTTAACCTTGCACTTACATTTTCGACTCAAAATCTTTAATTGTTATGTGTTTTCTGTTCTCATGTATGGAGCAGAGGCATGGACACTCAGCGATGCGTCTTGCAGACGGTTGCAGTCTTTCGAGATGTGCTGCTATCGTCGCATGCTCGTAATATCTTATGTACACATAACTAACAACGCAGTAATGCAACATTTACAAAAAGAACCTGAATTCTTGAAATCCATTTAAGAAAGAGTGTTAGCATACTTCGGACATATAGTAAAAAATGGAAATAAATACAGAATCCTACTATTGATATTAGAAGGGACAATAGAAGGAAATAGAGGACCAGGATGCCGCCGAATATCCTGGCTTAAGAATTTGAGACACTGGACAGGTATGACCATCACATACCTATTTCGAACCATTCTGGTAGCCAACATCCATAGAGAATAGGCACTAGCAGAAGAAGAGAGAATTAACGGACCTCTTTGTGTTGCGCCGTTGTCCAGCTATCCGTTGGAATGCATACCTATATATCTTATTACGAATTGCAACTTAAAATGATACGGTATGCTACGATGTGTACGGTATATCAGTGATTTTATGTCGTTGATTGACTACGTAATGATAATAAGGCTTTGTGATTCTTTAATAGTTATTATGACTTTGCAGTTGAATGTTAATTGAAAATGGATATTCATATATTAAGCCAAGGGAATAAGCGCCGCAAATAAGATCATGATTGCCATGTTAATAGCCAAAGTTCGCAACGGACAGGGAGGGCACTTAAAGAAGAAGAAAATGTTATATATCAAATAATGCAAAATATACAGAAACAGCCAAAAAAGCAATTATATGCAAAATATACAATAGCTATGCAATTGCATAAAATATCTAAAACGTAGGTTGCTTATTAATAATTATAAGATTGTACGACACTTCTAAAACTAATTATTTGAAATGCTACCAACAATGTATGATCAAGTAACTACATATTAAGAGGACAAATGCCTCTCCATTAAACATATAAACAATGGAGAAATCTAAGGTACTCACAAAGCATCCGAAGATAAATTCTCCGCTGAATAATGGAGTAACACATAAATGCAACTCACAATGCAACAAAGTTACTAAACAGTCGAAATGCTATTCGAAAGTCAGGTCAGCGATCGAGCGAACTTCCCTTTATTACATTGCTGAAATTTCGCGAAGCGAAGCGCAGGAGGATGAACTTACATTAATAAAAGACGGTATTGTGTTTTATATATCGCTGTTTTATTACTATTTTGAGGTTTATTAAACATAACACAGCACTGAAAACATTTTAAAAATATAATTAATTTACATTCATGAATTGTTATAAACTATATGAATAGTTATGATAAAATATACTGTTTATATTTAGAGAGTAGAGTAAAGTGCCCTATTATCGGATACTTTTTTTGAACCCTAATATTAGTTTTATTGCGTCAATTAATTTATGAATATTGTAGAGAATCTATACTATAAAAAATAAAATATAAATTTTTACTGACAAAACAAATGTTTCTAATACCAGATATTAGTATAACGGGATAATATTAGCCATCGAGAGAGAAATCACAATATGTGTCTTTTTCGTTTACATTGCTGAAGTCGGTGTAAACCCACTTAAAAGACTTTAAGAAGTGAATCCATTGTTTGCCCGAGGTATCTTCAGAGAAGAGCCCAGTAGAAAACATATATTCTGCTTCCTTTACCCCAATGTCACACTCCATGTCAGAATTATCATCTAAAATGCATTCTTTATCTTCTTTAGATGAACTAAAATCTTCTTCTTTCTTAGCACTTTTCTTTTTAACCTTGGTTGTCATTGTCTTATTAGCAATAGATTTTCCTTCATTTTTATTTGTGTTCTTAAAAGGCTCACATTTGTCCATTTTTAATTTCGGAATTTCCTTCATCATTATCATCATTTTGGCTTTACAACCCTGTGTGGGTCCTAGCCTCCCCAAGAATTCTCTTTCAGTCGTCCCTATTCATCGCCTTCCTCCGCCAATCACGTATTTCCATATTTCTCATATCTTGGTCTATGTTATCTAGGAATCTTGTTCTGGCTCTTCCTCTTCTTCTTTGATCAATAGGTCTATCAAGGAGCAAGGAGCGTTTTTTTAGCTGGGTCCGTTTGCTCTATCCGCATTACATGGCCTACCCACCTCAGACGTCCTATCTTAATGTGTTTTACGATATCCGGTTCCTGGTATATTCTATAGAGTTCAAAGTTGTATGTGTCTTCTCCAGACACCATTTTCATTTACCGCTCCATAGATTCGCCTTAGTATTTTTCTTTCGAAACATCCTAACATGTTTTCATTGATTTTTGTTAAAGTCCAGGTTTCTGAACCATATGTTAGGACTGGGCGTATTAATGTTTTGTAGAGTTTTACTTTTAGGTAAAGAAATAATAATAAGATTTACTCACAATCAATTTAATTTAACAATCTGACGACCGGTTTCGCTTTCTACAATTTGCAAAGCATCTTCAGGTCTAGATACAAAGTTAAACTAATGCTGCAATAAAATAAACCCAATTAGGGTGGTGTCTAATAAAGATAAAATAAACAAATAAGTTAGTTCATACAAATTATAGTAATTATGCCAATATTACGTGTCTGTGGTTTTCAAAATGAATAAATTTGAATATATAAAAGGTATTAACAGACAAGGTAAGACCCACAATTGGTATAAAGTAGCAATATTAAATTGTAATAAATTAATAAATGAGCAAATAAATAAATAAAACAAAACAAACATTACTTACATGCCGGTACTCTATTAATTGATGGATGGTAGGTCATGGTTGCAAAAATCATGTATTGTTGATTGGAGAACTTTAATGTGCTATTGCAGTTGTTTTGGCAATAAACGGGAAGTTCTTGAGGAGAACAGATTTGATCCAATGAATTAGAGATAGGTATATTGTGGTTGTTTGTCAGATGAAAGTGATGTTCTTTACTATTGTATTATTTAAATTATTTACACTTATATCAGAGATATATTTTTTGGAATGTGTGTTATTTATTGAGTATTTATGTAATGAAGGAGACAGTTTTATGACAATGAATAAGAGTAGCTGTACCGATTGTGTGGTTGTGCAATTATTTTGACTTGTAATTATCAAGTCTATTGGCAAAATTAATAAATTATTGTAAAGTCAACTATGTAAAAAGTATATAAAAAGTATATAAAATTATTACAAATTAAGACGATCAGGGACAAATTAAACACACATTAACAGGAACAGAAACACTAAATGACGGGACAAACATTGAATTTAAAACTTAAACTTGGGGGATGGAAGAAACTGCAAGCACTACATCTCACTGTTGGAAGAAATGAGTTTTTTCATATTTAATCTATTAGATTTAAGAGGTAAATTTGACATATGTAGGTTGAAGTGTGACAGTTCTTCTTCTATTACTAAATACTGTAAGTTTAGTTATTCAGTATTATGGAGTATGTTGATATTAATGAATGTCTCAAAATTTGTTTTAATTTAGAAATCAAAAGTAAATTGATGTGTTTAATATTGGCATACTTTAACAATTTTAATTAATAAGTTTCAAATTCAAAAAAATTTTTTATTGTAACAATGTGAATAATTGAAATACATCATCTGTTATAACTAACCAATTTTAGTCTGAATATTTCAGAACAAATTAAAATGATTATTTAGTAAATACAAACAAGTGTACTTGTTTTAAATCTTCAACATAAAATTAAAATCCAGCACACCATGATGGATCGAATTTCTTGTTCACAGAATTTCTCCTCTTTTCTTTTCTTCAACATATCACCAATAAAAATAAACTTTCCTAAAACTAAATTCAACATCAGTAATGAACTGGTATGGTACCTCAACTTATTTAACCCATAATAATTATTATTGCATTCCATCTGGTTTCGACAAATACTTAATTTACAACATATTTCATTTCAAACTCAACACGTGGTTTATGAATTTCCAACATGACTGGAAAATTGTTTAGACTAACAGTTTGGATTACATATATCTATACTATTCATAATCCTGTACAGATTTAAAATTTAAATAGAAATATTAACTTTCAAAAACAGATATTAATTTTTAATAAAATTTTAAAAATTCTTACTAAAACTACTGTCAAAACTCACCAGTGTTCTTGTCGGTTTGAGGAATGTCTGTTCATATGATACAAAGAATTGAAATAAAAGTATACTTTACACCGGTTTAAATGTGTACCTGCTGCCCGGGGATGGAATCAATTTCCGGTTTCAATTGTCATAAATTAGTATTGCCAACTAATTATTCAAGACTTAAGTCAGTCAATTACTCGAATTCAAAATTTGAATAATCATCAATATTCACCCAATTACTACTTTATTTAATTATTAATTATTATAATTTAAATTAAATATTTTAAGAAATGTTTATACACCATAACAGATAGCTCAGACCGACAATTATTTCAAATAAAAAAATTTTCAGGCAATTTGTAACTTTGTTATACCTTTCAATTACAAGTACAGTTGTTTGTATTTACTAAATAATCATTTTAGTTTGTTCTGAAATATTCAGACTAAAATTGGTTAGTTATAACAGATGATGTATTTCAATTATTCACATTGTTACAATAAAAAAAATTTTTAAATTTGAAACTTATTAATTAAAATTGTTAAAGTATGCCAATATTAAACACATCAATTTACTTTTGATTTCTAAATTAAAACAAATTTTGAGACATTCATTAATATCAACATACTCCATAATACTGAATAACTAAACTTACAGTATTTAGTAATAGAAGAAGAACTGTCACACTTCAACCTACATATGTCAAATTTACCTCTTAAATCTAATAGATTAAGTATGAAAAAACTCATTTCTTCCAACAGTGAGATGTAGTGCTTGCAGTTTCTTCCATCCCCCAAGTTTAAGTTTTAAATTCAATGTTTGTCCCGTCATTTAGTGTTTCTGTTCCTGTTAATGTGTGTTTAATTTGTCCCTGATCGTCTTAATTTGTAATAATTTTATATACTTTTTATATACTTTTTACATAGTTGACTTTACAATAATTTATTAATTTTGCCAATAGACTTGATAATTACAAGTCAAAATAATTGCACAACCACACAATCGGTACAGCTACTCTTATTCATTGTCATAAAACTGTCTCCTTCATTACATAAATACTCAATAAATAACACACATTCCAAAAAATATATCTCTGATATAAGTGTAAATAATTTAAATAATACAATAGTAAAGAACATCACTTTCATCTGACAAACAACCACAATATACCTATCTCTAATTCATTGGATCAAATCTGTTTCTCCTCAAGAACTTCCCGTTTATTGCCAAAACAACTGCAATAGCACATTAAAGTTCTCCAATCAACAATACATGATTTTTGCAACCATGACCTACCATCCATCAATTAATAGAGTACCGGCATGTAAGTAATGTTTGTTTTGTTTTATTTATTTATTTGCTCATTTATTAATTTGTATAATTACTATAATTTGTATGAACTAACTTATTTGTTTATTTTATCTTTATTAGACACCACCCTAATTGGGTTTATTTTATTGCAGCATTAGTTTAACTTTGTATCTAGACCTGAAGATGCTTTGCAAATTGTAGAAAGCGAAACCGGTCGTCAGATTGTTAAATTAAATTGATTGTGAGTAAGTCTTATTATTATTTCTTTACCTATTTGATATGGACTCACACAAGCAACACATTCATGATTTGAATAATGCAAGTTTTACTTTTGTATTTCTTGATATAGCTGTAGATTTAAAAAGGAGATTAAGTCCAAAATAGCATCTAATGCAAATTCTGCGGTTTATCTTTGCGGTAATGTCATTTTCAGTATTGACGAGCGTTCCCAGGTATACAAATTCGTTAACTGCTTCGATGACGTCGTTTTCTATAACAAGTGGCCGTCGTATTTGTGGTTGCGGACCTATTTTCATTCATTTCGTTTTATTAATTTTTATTATTAAACCCATTTTTTAGCCGCTTCCTTTGGTGCTACATACGCCTCTCGTGCTGCGTTTTCCGTTCTCCCAACAATATTGATATCATCAGCATATGCTAGGATTTGCACAGATTTGTTATATATTGAACCGGTATTTGAGATTTGTGACGTACGTATTACTTTTTCCAGAACTAGATTTAATAGTATACAGAAGAGTGGGTCTCCCTGGCGTAGCCCGTTATTTGTATTAAAAGGTTCAGAGAGTTTCCCCTGGATTGCTACTCTGCATTCAACTTTTTTAAGGGTTAGTTTGGTTAGACTTACAAACTGATTTGGTACTCCCAGGTCTTTCATTGCTCGAAACAATTCTCTTCTATTTACAGAGTCGTAGGCTGCCTTGTAGTCCATAAATATGTGGTGCGTGTTTACACCGTATTCCAGTGTTTTCTCTAGATTTTGTCTAGAATCCATTGTTCGCCTGGTGTGTTTTCAGTGAAGAGCCCAGTACAAAACATACTTTCTGCTTCCTTTTCCCCAATGTCACACTCCATGTCAGAAGCATCATCTAAAATGAATTCTTTATCTTCTTCAGATGAACTTAAATCTTCCTCTTTCTTAGCACTTTTACTTTTAACCTTGGTTGTCATTGTCTTCTTAGCAATAGATTTTCCATCATTTTTATTTGTTTTATTAAAAGGCTTACATTTGTCTATTTTTAATTTCAGAATTCCCTTTATTCCGTTTATTTCTCTTCTGCTTTGACAAACTACTTTCTAAGGCATCTTTTGTATGGTTTATTCAAAGGCATAATCAAGGCAGGCTATTTTTAGAAATGTTCTTACATGATA